GGCCCTGGAGGTTCGGAATTGCCAATAACTTGCCAGTATGGGACTTACCATTAATAGCTCTATTAGTTTTTGCACCGAAGTAAATACTTGCGTTAGCCAGCCAATTTTGATCTACCACTTCATACTTTACTACAGTACTATCTACCCTTAACGTCTGTAACACTTTTCCATGACTTCATTATTATGACCGTCTCCGTGGGAAAGTGGAGACAATCGACAATCGACAATCGACAACCCTATCCAGTACAACTGTGTATCACGTCCTCTCCAATAATCCTACCGGTACGAGTACACACTTCGAAAATCCAAAATCTCCTGCAATCAGACAGCAGAACAGACACGAAAACATGTTTTCCTCCCGATCCATCCTACTCCTCATTGCTTTGGTCGTCGCCGTTTCGGCTGGCACAAGCAAAGAAGGCCTTGAGTTCCTCGCGAAGAAAGCTACCGAGGAAGGGTAAGTCAATCTTTCGCGTCTCGTTGAAATCGGTTGGAACCAAGACTGAGGCGTAAAATGGACACTTTCATAGCGGACAAACAATATGCTACTGTACTTACGATTGATGTGTTTTGCACCGTTTTTTGTGTTGCATGAATTGCATTCTTTTTGCAACTGCAGAGTCGTCAAACTTGAATCGGGTTTGATGTACAAAGGTACGAGTTGAAAATGAAGTGGTAGAATTAAATCTGACGACGAAAAATTTTGACTTCATTTCTCAACAATTGCTCTTTCGCATCGATTAATTTAGAAATCTCTCCTGGAAATAATTCTGGCAAAAAAGCGAAGGTCAATACCCCATGCGAGTGCCACTACGCCGGAACCTTGATTGATGGAACAGAGGTAATTATAGAAAGATGCTGTTTGTTACACCCTCATTCCGAATTGAACTCCCTCGAGAACAACTCTGACCGATTCGTTTCGTTGTGCTTTTGCAACCGTTAGTTTGACTCGAGTTACAAGAGAGGACAGGTAATTTTATATGATATGAAATCATTTGAGACGAATTGGTTAGCATCGATTTGAATGTGAGTGTTACAGTGAGGATTGGTCGTCTCATTGATATGTTTGTTTCGCATCCTGGATTTTTGCCCTCGTCCTTTTCTTCGATTTTGAAATTTTCAGCCTTTGACGTTTGCCCCAAACCAAGTGATTAAGGTACGTCCATTGTGAATAAAGTTTGCGAATTTCTTTCCGTTGTTTTCTATCATTACTAAAGCTTAAATTGGTATCCAATCTGTTTTCTACTTTTTAACAAGGGTTGGACCGAGGCCTTGCAGATCATGGATGAGGGAGCCAAGGTGTGTTTGATAATATCTGTTTCGTGATACTTTGATGAAGAGATTCCGCTAGACGGTTCGAAATGAAACTCATACTTTTTAATTGTTTGGTCTTATCAGTGGGAACTTTACATTCCTTCGGAACTTGGTTATGGCGACAGAGGAGCCGGAGCGTAAGTCCTTTTTGTATTTGCAATGGCAGTTTTATTTGGTTTTATCACGGTATGCAACGAATGCGGCTTTGACATTCAAGCTTATTTTGCGTCTCAAACATTACAAAACGCGTCTTTCACAGTTCCATTCCAGGCGGAGCCGTTTTGGTCTTCACCCTGGAATTGATCGATATCAAGCTTTAAAGTGGTTTGTTTCCGCTGGTTAGTAGAAGGATGTTTTTGCATTCAACGAAGTGCGATGCTCGAATTTCATGATAAACACTTCTGTCACAGCGAACATTCAAAGAGTTCATTCAGTGATCAAGAGACCTTCATCTTCAAGAAGTTGCTTATGTTGAAAGCCATTGTTCTAAGTGGATCGAGCTACATATAGTTTGCATTGCTTCAAATAATGAAAAATAATTCATTACCACCATTTGAATTCTCTTTTGTGAACGTTGCAACGTCCTCAAAGGGGCAGACTGACTGAAATAGTAAGCCCAACAGTGGTAGGCATTGAGAAACATTCAACTGTCTCTTATCGAGCTTACCTCTGTTTGAATTAGCGGTTTCTTCATAGCGAATTGTTGGGAACTGCAGTGCTTGCGTATTTTACCGGTAGTTACCATCGTTTTCCCCTTTCGTCGTCCATGAGGAGGAGTTTAATTAGTTGTCTTCATTCATGTAATACCGGTACTACGAGTAGTAACTCGTACTACCGGTAGCTCCGAATCGAAAGGTCAACCTGTTTTTGTTTGTTTATTATTTATTATGGGGAACGAATATGAAATACCCCCTTTTCTTAACGAAAAAAGGTTGCGATTCCGTATGGTACCGTACGTACAGTTACGAACGGTTGGACATCATACCGTGCCGTACAAAGTACCGTTACACTACGACGTGCTGTACTTTACTAGTTAGGCGCAGACTGCCTCAGAAGCCTGCATCCTTCTACGGTACAGGTCCACAAAAAAGAGCCTTACGAAGACAAAAGCAATAAAGGACGAGGCAAAAACAACAAGATCAAGGAAGATGGTGCTTGAAGCAGTAAAAGTGTTATATTGTGCAAAATGCGGGATGCCTCCGGAGTATTGCGAGTACGGACCCGATTTCGAGCGGTTGTGCGAACCATGGCTGAAAAAATACCACCCCGGTATGCACGTCACTCTTAAGGCACTCCGTGGCGACACCAGCAGCGACAACGACGAGGAGGAAGAACCCGTGCCAGAAAAGCCAGCGGAACCATGGACCACCGAAGAGAGACTGACCAAATTCTACGAACTGTACGTGCCAGAGAAAGTGTCCGACGTTCCCTCACTTCTTGAAAAATACGCCGGGAAAGAGGAGAAATTGTTCATAGCACTGAGCAAGAAATATGGCCCTGAGCCCGAAGACCCATATTACATGTCAGACAACGAGGACGAAGACGAGAGTGAGGACCTCGCCAAAGATATGGACAATCTTCAGGTTGGAGGAAAAAAAAGGAGAGGAGTCAAAGCAAAAAAGTCGGTCAAATCCGAAACCCGAGTATTGATCCAAAAGCTCACTCGATCCAAAAGAAAAGCAACTACTGTTATTGTTGGCATGGAAACCGTGGAAGGAATCAAATTAAAAGACGCTTCCAAGGCATTTTCGAAACGATTCGCTGGAAGTTCTAGTGTAAAAGACGGTGTCAAGGGGAAAGAAATCATCATTCAAGGAGATCACATGGAGGATGTTGCAGCTATGATTGTGGACAAGTTCAAGGTTCCTGGCGACTGTGTGTTTTTGGATTTTGATGGAGGTGTCGTGCCCTACCAATAGAAGAATTGGATATATGGTAGACTCTAATATCTGCAAGGAATTGAATTCACACAAAATGTTTGCATTTGAGGATTTACAAATTTAGTTTGCCGCGTTTTCGGTGTTCGTGGATAAGATAGGGTCTACAATTGGAGCGTAGGATAAATATGCTAGCAACGGATGAACACTGCCATACTATAGGATGGCCTCTTACGCTTTTGAGAAGTAAAATTATGCGATTTTATGGTTGCCAAAGGCACATCTCACAATGAGCGCTCCCCTTATTACGAAACGTACAGCGTTCACAAGACCATTCTTCGTCGCCGCTACCATTGGCTGTGAGATCGATCACATTATGATTTCCGATTGAAGCATTACGTTGTTGTTGCGATAAGACGAGGTCGTTTCTTTCGGTGTCGGGTCGTTTTCTCTTTCGGTTCTGGATTGCACATTGTGACTTTCCAGCAGCAGAGACTGAAGGATTTTTACTGTCGTCGTCGTCGTCGTCGTCGTCATCGTCCAATATTTCAATGACGCACGGCTCTTGCGATCGCTCGATCATCCGACGCATTCGTAGCATTTGTCGCTTTCTCGACTCCGCAGCGTTGGCGATAAGCGATCGCAGCTCGTGCTGGCTCCTCCCGGCTCCGGCAACACCGCCCAATTTGCGTCCATTTGCAGTATCTTCGTTCAGCAAGCGACTCTTTCCCGAAAGATTCCTCCCACCCAGACGATACCCTCCTGTCTGTGGCAAGGGACCACTCATAGAACCGGCTGCAATAGAAATATTGTTTGTACCCGCCGTTTCCCCCGGTCTCCGTTCGTTTCGCTGTCGTACGGCATCCGCATTTGCGGGCCTCAGAAACGAAGGCCCCGACAATCCATGAATCTGAATCGTGGCATGTTCCTCGAGAATCTCTTCCATCAGCTTGAAAAAACCAGGCCCATGGTTTTGATGAACGCAATGGCTGAGCTCGTGGGCCATTGTTCCAGCGACGTCTTCCCAGGGCAGGAGTAGATGATCGATGGGGCGACGCAACCGCAAATGGATTGAATGTGATTTGATCCGCCCAAATGTCGTTTGGTTGTACCCCAATACGTTGTTGCTCATCCGTCGGCATTTTCCCTTTTTTCGTCCCCTCACAACGCAGTGATCAAGCCCATCCCCGCAACAGCACAATTCGCTGATCGATCTGACATTGAACCCACGCCGTTTGATGATTGGAAGGAATTCTTTGTGAATCCTTTCAAGTGTCGCCACGCAGACATCGTTCTGGGGCAATCCTGGAATCGTGTGAAGTGGTAACGCACCGATTTGCTTTTGCGGAGGTCCGTGACCTCGGCCTACAGATTTGCAGTACTCATCGGGAGCAAGGTACGACTTCGATGCGAAGAAAGACCCAGGTTCCCTCTGACGTGACGGGGACGTTATTCGATGGTCCTTGTTGATATCGTCGAATGAAACGATGCGATGATTCGTCGGCGCCATCATCAATCACAAGCCGATAAATTATGATGCGAAAGAAGCCATCATTTTCTGCCAAACACCAAATCCATTGTAACTATGGCAACTGGATAATGTAAGGAACGCAGTAGAATGAGCACAAACGGTACAGTAAGAGAGACTTACTGTACGGTACGTAGTTCTCGCTCGGCGAGCTCACTCCGTCGACGCGAGAGGCACGAATAATAGATAAATTTAAATTTTTCTACGGTAAGTTTTTCCAAAATTTTGAAATTGACTGATTCGATTCAAATGGTTAATCAATTAATCAATGCCAAACGAAATAGACCGTGATAACGAAATGACACAAGTTGGTGACCGTTACTTGGAAAATTTGAAATTCAAATTCACATCCGTACCCCACATTGTGGCGATTTCATTTCCTGTCCTTAATTGCTATTCACCTCACCGAGAATGATCGCACCTAGAAAGACACTATGGAGCACCCCACTTAGTGCCGTGGATCATTGCATGGAATGGGTGCCACTAAAACCCGAAGATTCCGTGCTTGATATAGGGTGCGGCGATGGTAGAATTATTCATCGGTGGGCAATGTTGCTGTCCGAGTCGCTGTTGGCCGCAGAAGACCACGAGACCGGAGCTACGATATCATTTGTGGGTATCGACATCGATCCTAATCGAATCGAAGACGCAAAATTGAAGACGGAATCATTGAAAGCCGACGGGAAGATTTCACCACGGATACGAATCACTTTCATTTGTAAGAACGCCATGGAATCAACTGGTTACATCCAAGACGCGACAGTTATCTTCTTGTATCTGATCCCAAGAGGACTCAAGCAAATATACCCTTTGATCATGGAGGGACGCAGCAAACCGACGGAAAAAAGAAATCTTCGTATTATTAGCTACATGTCAAAATTACCTGTATTGAAACCCGAAGGGAGAGCTCTTTGCAAAGTCGAACACCAAAAGGAAGCTGCTTGGCCACTCTATTTTTATACAATCAAAAATGATTAGCGGAAGAAGACAAGCCGCACCATCTGCTGCCTGGCAATTGTCGTCAATCTTCACCCCTATGGCTAGCTGCTTTATGCAAAGACGTCGGCATCGGAATTAATCTGAATACCATAATAGAACCCGCTGGAAGTCATTTCGGCCTTTCTCTCGTTTTGCGTTTCGTTCCAAAATCGAAGCAGCTTCTCAATCTCCAAGTCTGTCAATGGGTACTGTTGACTATCAGCCTGTCGATATTTGGCAAAATATCGTCGGAATGATTTGACGACGTCTGATCTATGGCAGCTGCCTCCCGATTGTAATCGCTTTTCGGCAAATTCACCAAACTCTGTGCATCAAGAAAACACATGCCAAGTTAATGAAGAAGATAACAAGATTTTCGTAAAAGAAAGATAGAAAATGAGTATCATCCGGATTGTAGCGCTTGAAAACCAAAAGGAGAGCATAAAGCCTTACACAACCCAGGGCACGCACCTTCGTTCAATTCGACTGCACGATCTTTTTCATCTCGTGTCATTCGTTTCTCTCCGCTGAAAAAATATCAGCAAAGTGTAAAGCGTGTAAGACGACGATAGATCTTTCCACAATTTCACATATAGAAGCTACCCCTAGGAGAATAGAACAACCATCCTCTTCAAATGTTCGTTGGGCTTACCTTGCGATTCGTCCAAATTCGAAAAAGCCTCCATTAATTAGGGCCACGCCAGCTAATTGCGCACAAACACCGCTGTCTCCTTCCGCTAATTGCAGAAAAATGTATTGCGTGACCGTTCCAAGGAGAAAAAATACGAAGCCCAGCAAAAAAAGAAAAGGCAGCGGAAGAGGTGAAAACAAACCTGCGTTGCGATCTTCGAGCCATTTTTCTTCCTTCTCGTCGTAGATGATGTTGGCCAAGGGATTTGCCAACGGGTTTGACCGAGATCCAGATGCAAAAAACAGAGCCAATCCCCACGTTAGGGATGGCAAAAAGTCATTTTTCAGATTGAAGCTTGCTAGATTCTGATCCATTTTGACTTTGGCCATTTCGGCATTCTCTTTTCGTTGCTGCGAATTAATTCGTTTGCCTATCGTTACAAATTTGCTTTTGTCGTCGGCGTCGCTGAGCTCAACGGGGAACGAGCTGTCATATGCTACCGATGGCGACGTAGCAAGTGTCGAAGAAAGGACGCATGTCGTAGAAGCTACAAAGATGGACCGTAGCGCTTGTTTCCGGCTTTGTATGGCTGGCTTACTGGTCTGTTCTATTTCGTTTCGCACTCTATTCTCACTCGACACTTCTGGAGTAATAGAACGGCGGATGGGAGTGGTGTCAACCAGAGAACGTTTTGACAACTGGCTGCGGATGGGACCTCTTGCCAGTCCATCTACTACTCTGCATGTCGTCAGCGCTAGAAAAATAGATGGAGTAGGAATCTTCATCTTCAATTTTTTGACGTTGTGAAATTTGCTCCGTTTGACTGTTTGCTATATGTCGCTTGTCTCCTTGTATAATAGTACTTCACGTCGCTTTCCTTCGATTCGAAACACAGACAATTTGATTTAGGAACACACACGAAACCAGATAACTCAGTTTTTCTCGCTACAGCAGTAGTTCCGTACCTTTCTTTCCGTTCCTACGCAAACACGGTGGGAGTAGGCCTCTGTGTACGAGGACTCCTAATGTCAAGCGCACTAAAGTCAAGTACTTGGCAATCCCCGTACAAATACTAATAGAAATTTTTAGCTCATTTTTACAGTTAAAAAAAGGCATCCAATGGACGAAAATAAAAATATTTCCATTGTTTAATTTCTTGCTAGTCMCAAAATATTTCTATTAGTGGTCCTTAATATTTGAGATAAGCACTGATTTGATATTCTCAGTAGTAAGTACCAGGAATAGAAATATTTTCGGACTTGTGCTTTTTTTTCGTGGAGGAGGGGGAGAGGAGAAATAAAGACAGGAAAATTAAAAAAATTTACACCCGGGAGAGCCACCGAAACGAGCGTAAAGAAATTAAAACGCGCATGTTCGCGCGATTTTAACGGATTTCTGAAAAATAACGGTTTCTGGTTCTCCAGTACTAAAGTTGTTTTTAAGGGGGCATAGTCGATACCTTTCTTTTGGGGGGAACGTGACAAGTCATTTAATAAATAATAACTCGCCGATAATAAAATTTAATTAACTCGTTAATAAAATTTAATTAAAAAGAAATTAACGGCTTTTATAAAATTTTATTAAAAATTAATTAAAGGATTTAGTGTAATAAAAAGTTAATTAACGCTCACACGCATGCCAGCAGCAGCAGCAGCAACAGCAACAAAGAACACTCGCAGGCTCAAAAATAAGCAGCTACGTACAACACCACAAGCAACAAGAAGGAAGTACACCAATGGATGCAGAAATCATTGAAGATATTATCCGGGAGACCATCCGATGGCCTGATCGTAGGGAATGGAACAATAAGAATAAGGGTTCGAGAATAGCTGGCCTATTTGGTGCACCAAGCACAGTGATTGCTGATTTATGGAACCGAATCGAGCCAACGCTTGATGAATCAGCCGCAGAGCCAAAACACCTCCTGTGGGGGCTACTATTCCTTAAAGTGTATGCCACATCTGAAGAAGTTCATTGCTCAATAGTCGGATGGCCACACAATGATACATTTCGAAAGTGGGCCTGGTATTTTGTGCAAAAGATCTTTGAGCTGCAAGATGACGTTATTGTTTGGGAAAATAGATTCCTTGGTCAACCTCAGTCACCGGTAACTGGCGAGTACTTGCCCAAATCGGATTGCATGATATCCGTAGACTGGACAGATTGTCCATGTTATGAGCCTTACCCATTCAGCACCGACATGTATTCAGAGAAGTTCAATGGACCAGCTATCCGATATGAAGTTGGAATTTGTATTAAAACTAGTTATATTGTATGGATTAATGGTCCCTTTCCTGCAGGTACTTCAGAGAAAGGAATTTTTGACCGAGAGCTCGCATTGCGACTCGAGGACTGGGAAATGGTAGAAGCTGATAGTGGACTGAGGGGAACAATAAAGGGAAAGACCCCAAACCAGGGGATCGACAGTAAGCAAAGAAAAGAAAAGTCAATMATCCGCGGACGCCATGAAAATATTAATGGGAGACTCAAGGTCTTCAATGTGTTGAATGCTTCTTTTCATCACACAGAAGGGAGAGATAGAGACAAAATGATAGGAAAGCATGGGATGTGTTTTGCAGCTGTGGCAGTGATCACTCAGCTGAAGCTTGAGGAAGAAGGGGGACTGTATCACGTCGACTACRACGTCCGGTACACGAGTCTCAACAATACAGGAGCATAGATATTCTGTAGCACCATGTATGTCTACATCGCTTCTCGTAACCATGCCATTGCAATAGACTGATTCTTACTACTCCTATATTCAGTGCTGTTCTAGAGATCTTTGTGAAGGGATGTTGCTCATTGTGTTTGATTCATCCAGTATCGGCCGAAAGGTCGGAAGCTAATTTTAACACGGCGTTTGTGCGTGTAAGCAAAAACCAACTATTTTTGCCCAAATTGGACAGTATACCCCCTTGATTTTGACTTTTCTACAGGATTTTTACGAGCGTTTTGTACTAGGAAGCTCCCAAAATCAGTATTTTGGTCTCCAGTTTGCTTCCAAACTGATTTTAGGTAAAAAGCTAATTTTAACACGGCGTTTGCATGTGAAGATAAAAACCAACTGATTTTGCCCAAATTTGACAGTGTACCCCCTTGATGATGAGTTTTCTACAGGATTTCTACRAGCTTTTTGTACCAAGAAGCTCCGTAAATCAGTATTTTGGTCTCCAGTTTGCTCAGCTGCTGATGTCTCCGTGTGAATAAGCAATCATGCCAGCCGTATTGCAGCAGTGCAGGCGTACCACAATCTATAGCCTTTTCGTACCTCAGCTTCTATCGGTCTTCCCAATGCTCTATATTCACTATAATGAACGTAGGTTGTATATATTTATATATATATTCAAACACGGTTATTATCACTATATCACTCAACTGTCACGATTAAGATCATTATACGTAAAAACGCAAGGTGGGCCTCCGATCAGCTTAACACGGTGTAACGCGTGGAAATTGTTTAGCACGTAATAACACGCGTAGTGGTTAGTTTGCAAACTATTTTGCCATAAAACAACACTAACAGCAGCACTAATACTACTAATACTAGTATCAATTGTCCTCCTCCTCAATGGCAAGGACCCTTGGAGCAAAGAGCAAAATCAGAAAAGGACAATCACCAGAAACGTCATATCATAAGTTATCGTCCGTCGAACAGCTTGTAGTGTACTACTATTGGATCTACATTAAAACAGAAGGAGCTGAGGGTTGGGATAATAAAAGATCTGGTTCGACAGAGCATTGGAGGCATTTTAGTGTAATACACGAGCACTGGAAATCAGCCTCTTCATTCTATAACCGAGCAAAAGTAAGGTAGAAGCTAATAGTACCACTAGTAGTTGTTGTTGCCGCTGTCGTTGCCGCTGTCGTTGCCGCTGTCATTACTTTCTTCTTTGGAAGCATATTTCGTTGCTCACAGTTTCTTCTTCCTCACAGAAATTGAATCTTATTGCAGAGGAGTTGCACAAGATCAACTACACCATTGAAGAGCCCATCATTGCTGGCATTCCACGAACACCATCGACTGCTCTTGCTGCTACCATTGCTCCTGACAACGATCAATCGCTACCGCCGCCGCCGCAATCAACACCAGCAACGACTACTACCACTCCAAGGTTTGCTTCTCCTCCCCTGCAACCAGCTCAGTTTTCCTCATCGAAAAGAGTGAAAACAACAAGAACACCTCAACTATTCTCCCCCCCACGAGCCTTGTCGTTCATCTCCCCCATYGCAAAGATGCCCGTTAGTGGTGCAACTGCATCCGCCTCAAAGAAGCCACCTGCGGTTCCTGAATCAATGCAGGCCAACTCTATCGATGACCTGGTCAATGCTGCAAACAACATGTCGCTTGAGGATGGAAGCCATGTCAACATTGTGGGGAGTGCCTATCCCACCATTGTAGGAACGTGGGACTCGCAGGACACCAATGATGATGACTCCTCGGATGAAGATTATGATGATCAAGTCTACACGATGATCAGAATGATCATGCACAATGCCATTCATGCAAATCTTATCCTCCCTGAATGGATTGATCCCTTTCATCTTCAGCTTACTATCCGCTGGCCCAAGTGGTTCAAGAAGGTCTCAAGGCATGTTGCAATTCAAAAGGGACAAAAGCGTCAGTTCCAATTTGATTCGAAGCATGCTGTCATCAAGACCATGAGACGCTACCTCCGGAAGCTCTACAAGCAAGACCCATATGGTCAACCAATGAAGGAGAAGATCATYGAGGATACAATTATGATCCAGTTCACAACTCCTATGTGCACAGAAAGGGATGCTGTCCATGTGGATGTTCTCCAGATCACTGTAACTGATGACGATCTTGACACAGGAGAGGATCTTCCACCTGGGGGAATCATCAAAGTGCTTCAAATCATTGCTGAAGCAGACATTGGTGGTTCAAAGGTGAACCAACGCATCTTTGTAGGTGGTCGGAATGTTACTCTAGGTAAGGAACCAAGTGGCAAACGCGCCGGCGAGGATGACACCAAGCAGCAGCAAGAAAAGGGAGAGTCGGCAAAGCAGCAAGAACCACTGCAAAAAC